GAAAAGACTGCCTTTGTATAAGATAAAGGAATAATGGCATTCTGAATCTGTTTTCCAGATCACAAAGGATATTCTCCGTCTAATCCCGAACCTGATTCCATAAAAAGAACATGACGTCAGAGCAGTGACGAGCACGTACCTGCCCCTTTGCCGGTGAGCTGGACGATGAACCCCGCAAGGCCAGACCCTCCAACCACGCCAGACCCGGACCTCTGGCCGAGCGAGGAGGGCCTCTTGATCCCGTGGGACATGTACCCCGTGGTGGATCCGGAAGCTAGGCCGCTCGAGGTGAAGGCGAAGAGGGACCCCTGGGAGCCGGACGCCGAGAAATGGGCGCCGACCGGTGAGTCATAGCTGTCGCTGGAGGAGGACGGGTTTTCTGTGGCCGCGTCGGGGTCGTCTGAAGGAAACTGGACGTTCGGGTCAGATTCGAATCGGTTGTCTGTGATTGAATCGTATTTGTCGAAGGCCGAAGATTGGTTTTCTGTTTCTGAGTCAGTGCTGCCAGAAAATTGGCTGTCAGTAGATGTGAATTGTGTGGCCGTTGAGTCTAAATTGTCAGATGGCGAAAACTGGCTAAATGTAGATGAAAATTGGTTGTTTTTAGACGAGTCATAGTCATCAAATGAAGAGTCTCTTCTGTTGTCATTGTCTATTGGTACGAACTGGTTGAGTGAAGACGAAAACTGGTTGTCTGCAGCTGAATCTGATGAGAACAGATTGTCTAATTCATGGTTGTCAGAGGATGAAAATTGGTTTGTTGTAGATGATAACTGATGTCCTGTAGACGAATATTGGCTGTCTGCAACTGAGTCATCATAATCAGGAGATGAAAACTGGCTATCGGCAGGGGAATCATAATCCACTGGAAATTGGTTAGTAGTGAAAGAAAACTGGCCTCCTTCAGTCGAAAATTGGTTATCTGTTGCTGAGTTGTCGCTGTCAGATGATAAGTAATTTTCGTCCGTGGAAAACTGGTCGGTTGCAGATAAGAATTGGTCGTCTGAAGTTTGGTCAGAGGCAGCAGAGTCATGGTCGTCAGGAGATGAAAATAGATCTTGGGCGTCTGTGTAGCTGTCTGTCGAAAGAAGGGGGTTGTTAGATTCGGTTAAACGGGTACCTGGAGCGTGAATATCCGTAGAAGAGAGCCGGTGTGAGTCATGGTCGTTGGCATCGAATTTTTGTGAATCAGTAGAAGAAAAGTCAAAAGCTGTAGCTGCTCCTTGGACTCCTGTTGGCAGATCTTGACTGTCAGCAAGCAAGTCATAGTCACCATCGACTGTTGAACCGAAGTTGATAAAAGCTGTACTATGAAGGCCGGTGGATGGATCTTGGATATTAGTGATTAAGCCATGATTTGCTGTGGCTGGATCTCCCTCGGTCTCTTCGTGGAATCGTCCAGTTCCTGCATTTGCTGTGATGACACTAGCCTGTTTTGTAGGGGTACCTGATGTTGCAGAAGCGCTAGTATCTAACGGAACTCCAAAAGATGGCTCCGTTGTGCTAGAATAAGAACCATGAATGCCATAATTGTGTCCAGACTGTGATTCTTCTGTGCCGTGTTGCAAATCGTGGGTTATACTTTGCACTCCAGTAGCAGAACCATGGGAGTACCTTGATGGTCCGAGGGAATCTCGCGAATTGGGAAGAAAAGCGTCAGCTCTGTTGAAATTACCTGAATTTTCTTGTGCATCAGAAGCAGAAGCAAAGATGCCCTGGTGGATGCCATGTGCTGCTTCTTGGGTGTCATAATCGACATTGGCACCTGGGAATTCTGTCTGGAAACTCTGCTCCTGATTAGTAATAGAAGGACCAAGCTCAGCAGAATGAAGGCCAGAGAATCCCTGTGTTTTAGCAGGGGAGTTGTGGATATTACTTTGCTGGTCTACAATAGCTCTTTGAACACTGGGTGAGCTATCTGACACTGATGCCAATTCTCTTGTGTCAAGGAGCTTGACTTTGAGCCATTGAATGTTAACAGAGGCATCAGGGATCCCAGACTGTGTGTTTGGTTGCTCACTGTAGGAAGATTCCTGGGTATCATAATCTTGATTACTAGAAAAGCCAGTATCAAAATGGAAGTCAGGGGCTGACGTCTCTGAACCACTCAGTGAAAAACTGACATCAGACTGAACACCAGAAGAGGGTACTACAGCCTGCACTGAAGAATCACTTGTTCCAACCTGGAATTCGCTTGGGCAAGTGACTTTCTGGCGCAGGAGATTGCCAGTAGATGAAGAAATAGGTGGAATGCAGGTTTTGTTACTACCGGGGAAGTAGACAAGAATGTGGTGGAGTCATCAGTATGATAATCATAATCAAACTGGGATGCAGATGATGAAGCTGGTATGTCACCTAATATTGGTGCTTGAGTGCTAGAGAAGAAACGTTAGTGGCAGCTTGATATGCATTTGATGATCCAGTGTTTGAACTAGAACTACCAGTGCTTGCTGCAGATCGTTCGGTGGCACTTGCAAAATTTTTGTGTTGGATGGGAAGCCGACAGACCCTTGGGTTTTTGAAAGAGTTAGAAGTGCCAAAAGTAGAAGAAGCTTGAGTGGTGTCTCGGATTCCAAATGAAGTTTTCCTGGTTTCCGGCATCAGAGGCATCAGTGTTCAACAGAAATTCAGGACTCTGGGTCTTAATTTTTTGCTGAAAATTCAAGAAGTCTGTAGTAGTTGCACCTGAATCTTCATTTTCACTTTGGAAATCGAATGAGTGTTGCTGTGGGCCAGTTGATGAAATGTCACCGTCAGCTCTGGACTGGGACTGCTGAAGATCAGTCAAGCTGTGTTCGCCATTCTGGTACGTCTGTGATCCAGTTTCAAGTTGAATGGAGGAATCCTGTGTCCCAACAGAGTGATCTAAATAATCAAGATCAATAGGAGTGACAGCAGTAACGGCGCTCCTGAGTATCAGGCTGAAAACTCACAGCTATGGATTGTGTGTGCTTGTCTGGAAATGAAAGGAAGCAAAGCCAAAATCTTTGTGGCTTTGCAGGTCTTGAGTATTTGATGCTAATGTGTCCTTGCCAGAAAGAAGTCCATGAGTACCAGCTGTTGATATTTTGGGGCCAGGTTGTGTGTTCAATTCTTGTGGTGTTTGGCTTGGAGCAGAATTCACATCCGTGTGAATATGAGAGAATGACTTATGAGTGCTGCCTTCCGGGGCAAAGGTTGTGGACTGGAAGTACACAGTGGAGGCAGCAGTACTTGACCCTGGATTATCAGTGGTAAATTGAACACCAACACTTGGTGGAGTAACCGTACTTCGGTTAGGAGTGGTGACAATGATTGATGGAGAATCTTGTGTGTTTACCGGAGACCCAGAGCCATGAGGTCTGATACCGGCAGAAGTACCAGCAGCGGACTGGGACCCTTGACTTCCTTGCTCCTGTGAGAAAGATCCTTGGCTGTCGGCAGGAGAGAGCTGAGTGCTGAACGGCGCTCCCTCGTTTCCGGCAGAAGACGCGTGAGCGCCGGGGGTGGGCACCTGACCCCCGGCGAAGAGCGAGTGGAAGTCAAAGGAGGGCGCTTGGCCTCCGGCTTGGAAATTGAAGGGGAATTTGTTTCCGCTGTTCCCGAAGAAAGCAGCCCCGCTATTGGAATTATCTCCAGAAAAAAAACCTGAAACAAAAATATAAATAACCATGTTTTTTATGTTAATCATTATTATTTTTTAAATGAATTTCAACAGTGACCCTTAACTGCAGCTTCTAGGTATTACACATCAGTATATCATACATTTCTGCAGTTTATATTTATGTAAACAAAGTTAATGTATACCTTGGGCATTATTCACTATTCATCTATCACTCCATATATTTAAATCAGCAACTTAAGGTCTGTTTATCAAACTTCCTACGAAGGTCCCCAAAACCCACCCAGAGAAAGACGAGGAAGACGAGTGATCCGCCGAGGAAGACGACGAGTTGGAGGAAGAGTGACTGAAGTTGAAGCCGTTCCCGGTGGAAGTGTAGTTGCCTGAGGCGGAGTTCTGGTTGGAGGACGAGGAGGAGTTGGACGAGGTGGAGTTGGAGTGGAAGGAGAAAGCCAGGCGCGGGGGTGTGGCAATTCTTCCTTGTGGAGGAGAGTCGGCCAGGCGGAGCACGCTGCCACCAACGCCAGGGTCACGGTACCCACGCGCACTGCGGGAGCACACAGGGCATGACGCTCGCACGATTCTCATGAATGAACTAACGCACCGTGGCGTAGATGCCATGGGGGTTAAAACTATATCCGATTTTCCGAATGCATTGGAATATTTACTTATCAATAGCATGAGGGTCTTCTAGTAAAGCAATGAGTTGGATGAACAACATAGTGAGTGTAAAGCTAAGAAAATTAAAATGCAAATTATAGAAAAGCGAACGAAAATATCAAATATTTGTGAGTGGCAGGCTCATGTGTGGTTTTGTGCATGACGTAATCATACCATGCTGGAGAACAATGAGACATGCTCAGGGTCGTCTGGAAACTGATAAACCAATAAAAAGAAAAGCAATGATTTTTTCATGCCTGGGAATACATTCAGATACAAACACAGACAAAATCACATACATTCATGCATGCATAAATGCAAATATACATGCATATATATATATATATATATATATATATATATATATATATATATATATATATATATGTGTGTGTGTGTGTGTGTGTGTGTGTGTGTGTGTGTGTGTGTGTGTGTGTGTGTGCATAGACATATATATATATATATATATATATATATATATATATATATTATATATATATATATATGTATTTATACATATATATATATTATAATATATATGTATATATATTATATATTATATATATATATATATATATAATATATATATATATATATATATATATATATATATATAGTATATATATATATATACGCATGTGTGCGTGTGTGTGTGTGCATATATATATATATATATATATATATATATATATATATATATATATATATATATATATATATATGTATGTATGGATGTATATATATGTATATATATATATATTATTATATATATGTATATATGTATATATGTATATGTATAATATATGTATATATATAAATATATATGCAGACATATATACATGTATATATATATATATATATATATATATATTATATATATATATATATAATATATATATATTATTATATGAATGTGTGGATATACACACATATATATATGCATACATTCACATGTGTTTTTCATTGTTTTCCTTTATCACACACGCAAACACGAGCAGCCACACGCACGTCAGCAGGAAGGTCCCTGCAAACGCCACAACCAATAACGCGATTCCCTTCCGCAGAGCCGTTATTAAAGGAGATAAATCCTCTTTTCTCTGCCCTGAGAGAGCACTAGGAACACACTGGCACTTACTACTGGATTCTTTACGCTGCGTCCGGGTGCCTGGGCGTGTTGGCAGTCGGCCGTGCACTGTGCCATGCTTTAACGGGTTGACCTTTATATACCTTCGTCACACCTTGTCAGCCGCAACGGAAATCGTCTACGCCTTGCGAAGACGCCGTGACTCATTTCACGTTTTCAAATCTTCGTCGGTTTCTGCATATCGTTAAATATTCCTTAAATTTTTTTCGGGTTCGAGTTCCTGCTCTTAGCTGAGATATCGTTTAGCAGAAATGATGCAATACGAATGCAACGGAAGGATTTTAAAGTTGCCTGTCATGAAGGTCTTCAGAGCAACAAGCATGAATGCCAAACCTGTTAAACAAATCTGAAACAAATCACGATTAATACATTGAAATAAAAGATTTCCAAACAGTCATGCTGAATTCACGTTTAAAATGTTACAATCACATCCGGAATCTCGATCATGTATATTTGTGTTCCTAGAAATGAATAAGAATTAATTTCCCTTGGTGTAAATACGTCGTTAGGCTTCAACAATGCCCCCGCTCATTCCAAAAGTAAATGTCATTTAGTGTAAATAAGAAAAATCATTTAAACATAACGGGCAAGTTCTTTTCAGGAGGAAGTAATTTCGTCGAAATGAGGTCGTCACGGAATCTCGAGGACGAGTGATCAGCGAAACCATTACGAGGAGGCTCTCGTTAGGCCGATTAATATCGTTTTTTTTTTCGTTCCGTCTCTGTTTCTCTATATCTTGGACATATCGGCTTCTCCCCTCTACATCTCATACATATCGGCTACACTCCTCTGTATCTTAGACATATCGGCTACTCCTCTCTATATCTCATACATATCGGCTACACTCCTCTATATCTTGGGCATATCGGCTACACTTCTCTATATCTTAGATATATCGGCTGCACTCCTCTATATCTTAGACATATCGGCTGCACTCCTCTATATCTTAGACATATCGGCTACACTCCTCTATATCTTGGACATATCGGCTACTCCTCTCTATATCTCATACATATCTGCTACACTCCTCTATATCTTGGGCATATCGGCTACACTCCTCTATATTTTGGACATATCGGCTACTCCTCTCTATATCTCATACATATCGGCTACACTCCTCTATATCTTGGGCATATCGGCTACACTCCTCTATATCTTGGACATATCGGCTACTCCTCTCTATATCTTGGACATATCGGCTACACTCCTCTATATCTTGGACATATCGGCTACTCCTCTCTATATCTCATACATATCGGCTACACTCCTCTATATCTTGGCATATCGGCTACACTCCTCTATATCTTGGACATATCGGCTACTCCTCTCTATATCTCATACATATCGGCTACACTCCTCTATATCTTGGGCATATCGGCTACTCCTCTCTATATCTCATACATATCGGCTACACTCCTCTATATCTTGGGCATATCGGCTACTCCTCTCTATATCTCATACATATCGGCTACACTCCTCTATATCTTGGACATATCGGCTACTCCTCTCTATATCTCATACATATCGGCTACACTCCTCTATATCTTGGACATATCGGCTACACTCCTCTATATCTTGGACATATCGGCTACTCCTCTCTATATCTCATACATATCTGCTACACTCCTCTATATCTTGGGCATATCGGCTACACTCCTCTATATCTTGGACATATCGGCTACTCCTCTCTATATCTCATACATATCGGCTACACTCCTCTATATCTTGGGCATATCGGCTACACTCCTCTATATCTTGGACATATCGGCTACTCCTCTCTATATCTCATACATATCGGCTACACTCCTCTATATCTTGGACATATCGGCTACACTTCTCTATATCTTGGACATATCGGCTACACTCCTCTATATCTTGGACATATCGGCTACACTTCTCTATATCTTAGACATATCGGTTACACTTCTCTATATCTTAGACATATCGGCTACACTCCTCTATATCTTGGACATATCGGCTACACTTCTCTATATCTTAGACATATCGGTTACACTTCTCTATATCTTAGACATATCGGCTACACTCCTCTATATCTTGGACATATCGGCTACACTCCTCTATATCTTGGACATAT